ATGCGCCCACCTGTGTCTCCCCGCTGCTGGTGGCGTGGCGAGGTCGCGTTCCTGGCGCTGTTCCACAGGCCCAAACCCCTCACGGTCCATCTCCGGGGCCGCCTTGCCCGGAGCTGTCTGGGGGATCCCCCCCTCTTCGGCCTCTTCCTCCGAAGAAGCCCTGGTAGGTTGTCTTCTTCTGGTGTACATTTTAAGACTACGCCATCACCTAGCTATAAAGTATTTTCACTTCTGGCACCAGATGTAGTGTGTGTATCTCACGAGGCACACACAGAAGTCTGGAGGCACCACGATTTATTAACTGAACAGGGCTACGGGCTAACAATACTCGGGGTTATTCTAGACCTCCAAAGGGGTCTTTATGTAAACCGAGTCCTGACAACCGACGCTCCAAGACCCCCGAAGCAATGCCACATGGTAAGCTCTTCCCGCCAGACAACCCTGATCGCTCCGCCTCCGTCCTTCTTATTCTCTCGAGCGTGGCCTTGCTCCGCCTCCGGCCACGCCCTTTCCTCGGTCTCTTGTGACAGAACCGGAGTTAGCGTCACATGTCCTCTGGGCCCCCGTTTCCGGGCCCCCTTCACTACTCCGTGTCAGCACGTCCCCTCTTTCTCTCTGAGATGGGACCCTGCTCTGTATGCCCTGCTTCCCCGCCATGTCTCTGTCGGCCCCATAGAGAGGTACGTGCACACTAATTTACCAGTTGTGGTTGTAGTCGGCTTATACGCCGTAGAGACGCTATTTACGTCTCTACATCTGCATTAATTCACCTCCGATTCCTCAAAACAACAAAGTTATAAAAAAAATTGTTATATAAATGTTACCTTGAGGTCTCAGACACCATTTTTTTTACTTTAGCCAAAAAAACGGTAAATGAAATAACATTAAACATCCCGTACCTGAAATTATATTGCAACCTGTATGTAGTAACATCAGGGATGTCATTATATGGTGCTGGCCTGGAAGGGTCATGCCGTTCGATGTTCCTACATCGTGGACAGCACCGTGTGGATGGCTGTGTGTAATACCAGCCCTAGCGGGGCATGGCGAGTACTGGGATAGTGCGGGCACCACACACAGTGTGTAGTGGGGGCTCCCCCGAGGGGGAGGGGGTGAGTGTCAGCCCAGGGGCAGGGTTTCCTCGGGCCGTGGCACTCTGGGTTGACCCCGTACACACGTGATCCGGAATGTCCACACAGCAGGCACCAGGTGGGGAGACTAGTGGGTGATCCCATGTTCGGAGAGAGCTCTTGAAAAGGATCGAGAGGGAACAAGAATGTTCAGCAAGGTAGGCCGGGCCAAGGGCGTGGCCGAGCGGCCCTGACCGGAGAGGGATATAAGGCAAGTCCGTCAGAGGGACTGGGGTCGCTGCATTCTACAGGCTGGAAGCTCAACATGTACAAGTGGGAGGCTCTACATCTCAAGCTGAAGCTCTCCATCCTACGAGGCAACCACGTGGTCGGAAGACCCGAGTGAGGGATCGACCCTTCGTAGCAGTAAATCGCTGTAGTCTGGTAAAAGGGCAATTACCCCTTTTGTTATGAAATAAAAGTGTTGCCTCTAAAAGGAACAAAGTCTGCGACTCAGTTGGACACATTACATGTACATTAGCTCAAACCCGTCCACCTGGATATCCGGAGAGACCATCACTGGGCTGTCTTCATCCTAAAGGTCCTCTTAAAACAAATCCGCCAATTACCTAAAGAACCACTTAGTTCCTCTAACTCCCTCCAATTGCCTCGTAAGCACCTCCTTATTCGAATTTTGCTTGGTCAAGTCTTTCTGTGTTGCTGCTCCACGTTTCTGGAATACCCTTGGCCCTCATATATAAGCTTGGATCCCTTCCTTCCACTCCCCCTCTTTACTTCCCCATCAAACCAAGATACAGAGCATAGTTCCACCTGTACCCAACTTGTTATGGCGCCTCTTCCTCCCACAAGTTTGCACTGTCTTTTTCGACTTGCGTCTGATTATGTCACTGTTTGACTAAACTATAGAGCTTGTATACACTTGTACAAAACATTTGCATATAACATTTGCACTGTTTTTGATGCCGTGTTTCATCTACAACCGTTGAGTACACCGTGTGTTAGCCCTGTACTCGTTCTCTGTAATAATGACGCTTGTGTCTTTTCCCCTTCTTCTTGGTTCTTTCGGTAAAGTCACGTAGAAGGGAAATAATAAAATAATAATAATAATAAAACTTAATAAAATAATTCTCACGACGTTTCGGCCACAACGCAAGCAGCCATCCTCAGGTGAAGACGCTGTCTCCCCGACAGACCTGGTCTTCACCTGAGGATGGCTGCTTGCGTTGTGGCCGAAACGTCGTGAGAATTATTTTATTATGTTTTATTTTTATTATTTTATTATTTCCCTTCTACGTGACTTTACCAAAAGAACCAAGAAGATGAATCCCTGCAGCCACGAAAGCTTTAAATCGAAGCTTGTGTCTTTGTTTGGTTGTTTCTGTGCTCATGCAGTATGCATATCCCTTTTAAAATAGGCTGGCTAATTGGCTAAGAAAGATAATCCGTGTAACAAATAAAAGAAACTTAAACTTAAAGCCCCAAACCAGTTCAATATCCAGCATCTCATCAGCAGAACCAGGGTTGCTTGAACTACAAGATGTTTATAGGCTAGAACCATACTCAAGAGACACGAGTTTTAGTTTGATGCAAAACTTTATAATATAATATAGAAACTATTGCATTTTCCAAACAACCAGAGATATATGTTTGTTTTACACTTTTTCAACACTGGGGAGCTGTGTATCTGCATTATATTGAATTGCAGCACTGTAACTAGCTGCAGTTGTTTCCTAAGCCAATGAATGAGCAAGATCTGATACAGATACAAGAAAGTGAATGAAGCACAATTCAAGTTCAGTGCAGAAAAACAACACGAATGCTACCAAGTAAGGGTTAGCAGCGGTAATAACGCTGAGCAACCACTCTATATGTTGCCGTAGAGATAGTACAGTACACACCATATTCTAGTTGCAAGGAAACCTGTAACATGTCGTCTTATCCATAAGTGAACGGCTTTGGTCAACGTTAGACACCCTCACTGACACAGCACATTGCTACAAACTCCTGTCAGAAACTGTGGAGCTTACCTGAGCCTTCGAACCACCAACATCCCTACTAATGTTTGCACCTGTAGTAAAATTACTACAAGTCTGAAACTGTAAACAGCTTTAAAAAAAATATTATATGGGCATATCAACTGTAATACTGGGTAACCAAATGATAACATCTGCTAAAGTAACATTAGAGCTCGTAAAACACCTGAATGGTTGTAGTCCAACTCAAAGAATCAGTGCGAGCCACCAGTGGTTAGCCTTCTGGTCATTTGAGTGTGATCCCAAGTGTTAGTGAAGAGCCTCGCCGTCATAGCTGATAGCAGTGCTCTATATTTCTGGTAAATCAATGTCTGTGACACATGTCCTTGTCTGTGTATATATTAGTGTAATAAGCACACTAAATACATTCAGATGTTTCTGCAACCTAATGTAAATATGAAGACTTTAAAAGTAATTTGTCCGAGCCAACTTTCATAGCAAAAAATGTATTTTATTTAGCGATTCATAGATGTGCACTGTTTTCGATTTTTCTGAAACGCAGTTGTTTGACCTAATTTGAAGTTGGATGCTTTTGCTATGATTTTAATTTGCTTTATGTTTGTAATTTGTTTTTACGTTATTGCTTTTGTCATATATGGTACCCAGGTCTCACCTGGTTTAGCAAAATGCACTTGCAACTTCCAATGGACGCACTGTAAATGCCGAAACATAAAACCCGAGTGTAGTTAACATTGATGGTGTGCCCACTCGAAATGCTGCTGTCAATGTCAGACGTCTCCACTGGCATAGCACTGTGTACACAGCAGACACAGTGAGGGCAACAGCATCAGCTTCCACATGTCTCCTGTTGATTGGCAGCGATAAAAACAGCCCCTGCCCCTGGCGAGGCGATCGTTAGATTATCGCAACGGCCCGAGGCACGTCCACTCCCACACCCCTATGCACCCCGCATGAGCGACGCGAGCGCCGTTATACCCCACCAGAGGCCCTGCCGGCATGATCATGATACAATCAATATTATCAAAACTACGATCGCCCATCCACCACGACCACCATCATAATTACCATCGCAGTCGCCCTCATCACTTACCACCTCGAACACCATAAATGCCACAACCATCACCACGACCACTACCGTCGTTATAATCACCATAACAATTATTTTTCACCACCACCAGATATATGACAATCAGCATTATCACCACGATCATCATAACCACCGCTATCAACCACATCACAATGATGAATATAATAAATCACCTCACCACCACGAACAAAACAATACAACCATAACGATGATTACCACCACCACATTAACCACTTATAAAACACACAAATGCATCACTAAAATTATTTACATCACCAATAAATCACCACCACCATCGCCACCAGCACCCACAGCACTAAAGCATCACCACTATCATTAATAATCACCATTGGTACAACTCCCATCATGAGTACAACTACCATGGGTTAATGTAATTTTTATATAATTTAAACTTGTAATGCGCACAGTATTTGCTCACTCCCTGTTGAGAGAAGAACGCCTCGCGAGGAGGAACCAGACAAGAGGGGAGAGGGCATCAACAACTGCTGCCAGGTAGTGGTGAGCGGGCGCCAGCGACAGCACAACCAACAACAAACGCCGTGTGACGTCACCATGGCGCTTGTGCCAGGCTTGGTGTACCACCCTCACTACAAATATCACTATTATAACCATCATCTTTACCACAACCACAATTATCAGCATCCTCACTCCCAGCACCACAATTACTGCATCACAATCATCAACACTACCACCAGCACTCATCACCACCGTCGCTACCACCGCAACCACCATCATCACAACCACCCACCCCGCTACTAACCACAACTATCACACCACTACCACCACCATCACGTCCGCGTCACTCACAATGGCCTTGGTGTAGCACTGGATGGCATCGTCGTATTTCCTGTTGCCGAACAGGCGATTGCCCTGCTCTTTGAGTTCGTGTGCCGTAGACATGGCGCCCGGCGGCGTGCGTCTTCGGAGTTCTGGTCCGCCGACTCTCGGGTCTCCTCCTCCACCTCCTCCGCTCTTCTCTCGCCTCTCCTCCAAACCCTTCTGCTGCCCCCCTTCCCCTGCAGCCACGTGACGTAAAACCGACACCACGTGACGCAAACTCCCCAACCGACGTCACGTGACGTCCGCGCACCTCCCACCACCACTTCGCTGCCAAACGAGGCCGTGACGTGCGGGGATCGCCCCCCACCCCCCACCGCGAGTGACAGCGCCGCGTGACGAACTTCCGCTAACAGGGACTTGGCAACAACAGTGACGTCAGCACCGCGTGTAAGCGACGTCTCGAATTAAGTAACTGGCGCTGCCGTCTGCGCTGTCTGACCGTGTCCAACAAGATTCAGGGCCAAGTTGATTTTATTTTAACTCGACGAGAACACACGACGCGACGATCGTCTCATTTGCAAGTGACCCGGGGTCATCAAAACGAAAAAAAAGGTACAAAAAAGCAATTGGCAAAAACAAAGCAGAAGTTGAACGGTGCACACAATTAATGTTGCATTAATATATCTTCTGCAAATAAAGTTTTGCAATGCATTTAGGTAATTTTTGCAGAAGCATGTAAATTCACAATGTATGTTTAAAAAAATCGTTGGCCAGTATCCACTGCTAACAAGGCTGCCAGCATCGGGGTTTTTTCCATCGGGTTTTTCATGGTTTTAATTTTTTAAAAAACAGATAATCTCTGATGGCCAAAAATCCGGTTTTATTCGGTTTTATTGCCTGTTAATCCCTATAATGTTAGCCCCCACCAAGGAGAAGACAACACGTCCCGCTACAAGATGATGGTCAAAGGTCGCAAGACGCCGATGGAGTATTGGCTGTCCGATGGCAGTGAGTGGCCTGAGCTGCAAAAGGTCACCGTCAAGCTGTTCAGCATTGCCACGTCCAGTGCCGCATCCGAGAGGAAATTCTCCACCATGGCCTTCATTCACTCCGCAAGCTGAGGAACAGCCCGTGCGTGAAGTCGGTGGAGAAGCTCGTCTTCATCAAGAGCAACATTCTCGCCTTCTTCGACGGCGCGGTTGAGAAGATCGAAGAGGACAGCGAATCCGATGACTCTGGAGCCGATTGACAACTTGACTTGCCGGATTAAAACCATGGTTTCTTTCGACAAAATCGGGGGTTTTAAATAAAACCAATAACCCGATAAAATTAGCAAAAAAAATCTAGTTTTTTCCACCCTTGACTGTTAAAAGACCTCCCCTAACCGTGACCATCTGTGGTGACGTGTGCCGCTCTCCATGGAGCAATTGCACACGGTGCCCTCCAGGGCTCACTCGTCCCCCTCTTTTGGCTGCCTATTCAGCATTAGTCTCCACCAGAGCCATCGTCTCTATTATTAATATCAATAATTTGCGTGTGTCCTCTAACCCATGCGTCCTCTCTTGGTATAATTCTCAGCATATTGTCCCATGCTTCTTTGCAATTTTTAGCTTGTGTTCCATCCATTGCAATTACTGTCATGTCAATGTTTCTATCTGATCTCTGCCATTGCATCACCAACGTTACTGCATGATAATCGGGGGTGTTATGATTCATGGCCGCGATTCGATGCAGGAAACCCCTTTCCATAACTCAAATTATACTAAAGAGGAAATGCACGAGTTATTTTTTGTTCATTGTGATAGTGCACCACTTCCAACGCAGCATCACCAAATAATGTTTAATATATTCGTTGGGTTATTCCGTAAAGCCATATAAAAATAATATAAAATATCACATTTCTATCGCAAAACAAGCAATCCTCATCAGGTGAAAAAATATAGCGGGAGAGCTGCTGAAGCAGGATGTTATATAGGTTTGAGATGGATTTAACCCAAGTGCAAGTGGGCGGGGCAAGAGATGAAATTTGCATATAAATGTAAGATCGGAGAGCTGATATACCTTCATGACGACGCAGCTGTGGAGGTGGCCATTGTATTGAGAGATTAACATGTCAATGTAAGCGAAAATTGGGCTGTTACTCTGAGTGATAACAATCTTGTCAGTCTAAATTTTTTACGTGTGGATCTGGCTTCTTGGAAAGGAGGTTGAACTTGGAAATCAGGTTATCTTTGCATCTAGCTGCCATTGAGGCAGCTGAAGAGGCTGTCATGTTATCTACATGGTCCCAATCATATGTAGACATGTTGCTGTCAATGTTAAGTGCGATTGCAAGAGAGTATTGTCTAAATTGTCTAGTTCAAATCGGAGCAATCTTATTCTCTCTGTGATCAGGGCGAGGCCAGCCCTGAACAAGATCTGTTTAGCATTAGGAGAAGTGACAGCAGCAGATGTCAGTGTAAAGGCGATCAGTATTATCCCGAGTGTCACGGCATCTCTTCAGAAAAGTGAAGAGATAAGGGCAATGCCACTGTCATGGACAAAACCACATACAATAACAAAATTCAGGACCTACCTAATGGCAGCTATACCAAAATCAAGAGATCCTATCAACCACCTGGTTACGAAAACCAACAGCATCATCACTGATTCGACATCTTTAATCGAACCAACCAAGCGACTTTCCTTAAAACCCTCTGCTGCTCGATCACCCAGATTTTATGGCTTACCAAAAATCCATAAAGGTACGCCATTCCGGCCTATCATCTCCACCACTGACTCACCCACCTACAAACTGGCCCGATTTCTGTCCGAGACGCTACAACCATTCACTGGTAAGACCAGCTCAGCTGTACTTAACTAAGCTCACTTGGTATCTCTAATTAAGGACATCTCACTATCCCCAGGTGATTTGCTTGTCAGTTTCGATGTATCTTTGTTTGCCAAAGTTCCTGTGCCTGACACCATTGCAATCACTGAATATTTGGTCCAACAAGGACTGAATGCTGATGTACCGGCCCTGGTTATACACTGCCTCACCAACACTTACTTCAACTGGAATGGAACATTCTACAAACAAGTTGAAGGTACCCCAATGGGTTCGCCCTTATCTCCAGTTGTAGCCAATGTTTTCATGGAAAAACTTGAGACAGATGCCATCCAGGCATCCACCCTACGTCCTTCCTTGTGGAAGAGAAATGTAGATGACACGTTCGTCATCTGGCTACATGGCCTACCAGCGCTGGGCCAATTCTTCAACCAGATTCCAAGAACACAGGATGAGATGTTACTATCCTTTGTGCAAGCACTTCCAAGAGTTCATGAACAGTGAGCCTGGTGAAATTTGGGGAGCGCATCGTCAGTAGTGAACCTTTGGTTCCTAGGGTGTTTCGGCCTTTCATACTATACACCCTCCCCAAAGGCGGCCAGCGACAGGGTGATCAATCCTACGATTGCGTCCCATTCCCAATTAGTCATAGGAGTTGCCTTGTTGTTGATAGCCAACATCCCATGGGACTATGCATGGCAGGGGCGTCCTCCTCCCTGAGTCAAGCATTGTTGACTGCATACCTCCTGGCCCTCTCACTTTTGGGCCCAGCTGGGGTCTTTCCTCTTCATCCAGAGCCACTGACTGCTGCCTTCTGCCGCATTCGATACAGCTCTGACTGCCGAACGCTGGCTCTGGCCCTTAATTCCCAGGTCTCTAAGCAGTCTGGTTGTAGATGTTGCCACAAAACCTCTGCAGCCCACCTCCACTGGTCGGACTTCTGTGTTCCAGCCATGATGCCGTGCTTCGGCAGCTAGATCGGCATAGCGCAGATGTTTTCGCTCATAAGCCTCATCTACTGAGTCCTCCCAGGGTACTGTGAGCTCAATGATGAAGACCTTCTTGAGCGAACGGGACCAGAGCACCATGTCAGGTCTTAGGGTGGTGGTTGCGATCTCCGGAGGAAACACAAGTTGCCGGCCAATGTCAGCTAGCATTTTCCAGTCGCGGGCCAAGCGCAGCTGGTCTCGCTCTAATGGTGTAGAGCCGCTCTTCGGTGGTTTAGCCCCTTCGCGGACAAAGGTTGTCCGTAAGGGGTGTGATGCTGCTGGGGGTGGTGGTAGGGAGTTGGTGGCAGCTCGCTTGTCCTCTAGGGCAGACGCAAGGTTTTTAAGGACTTGGTTGTGACGCCAAGTGTAGCGTCCTTAGGTGAGGCTTGTTTTACACCCTGTGAGAATGTGCCTGAGGTTGGCTGGCATGGAACAGAGGGCACAGTCCGTATCTTCACCATACCATTGGTGAAGATTAACTGGTGTTGGAAGGACATCATATGTTGCTCTGATGGAAAAGCTCAACCGCCTCGCTTCCATGGCCCACAGATCCTTCCAGCTGATCTTCCTCTTCTCCACACTGTCCCATCGAGTCCACTGTCCCTGTTTGGCAAGAGAGACTGCCTTGGCCCACCTTGCAGCCTCCTCCTGATGGCGTACTTCCTGCACTACCATCTTCCGCCGCTCTGGTGCAGTGGCCTTACTCCAAGCAGCACGGCTAGTTAGCCCAAGGCCTCCTCTCCCTTGCTGAACATGACCCACAATGTCAGCATGTCTGAGGGCTGCTGTTGCCTCCTGGACTGCTTTTCCTGGCCTCCATTTGCGCCCAGTTGCCAAGGTCGGCACGTTGTTGCTCACCACTGGGTCTCGAGATTCATTCAGTGTCATCTGGAGCCTGGTTTTTGCACACTTGAATTCCTCGGTTAGACTGGTGAGGGGCAGCTTGAGGACACCATCCCCATAGAGGCCTATGGTGGTAAGGCATCGTGGAACTCCGAGCCACTTCTTTAAGTAGCTTGTGACTGCTCTTTCCATCTTCTCCACTGTTGAGATTGGAACCTCATACACTGCTAGGGGCCACAACACCCGGGGTAGGAGACCAAACTGCAGACACCAGGCCTTTAACTTTCCAGGTAGCTGGGTGTTGTCGATGGACTGTAGGCTACTACTGATGTCTTTGCGCAGCTGTTGCACCTGGTCTTTGTCCTTCAGGCTTGCATCATACCACCTTCCAAGGCTTTTTACCAGCTGCTCAGACACTGTTGGGATTTGGTCATCTCCGATGAAGAATTTCAGGTCACAGAGTACTCCCTTCACAATCGAGATGCTGCGTGACTTGGATGGTTTAATCTTCATACGGGCCCAGCTGATGTTCTCCTCGAGTTTTCTGAGCAGTCTCCTGGTAAATGGGACAGTGGTGGTCAATGTTGTAATGTCGTCCATGTAGGCTCCGAGTGGAGGGAGGCGAAAACCAGAGTCGACTTGCTGTCCACCAGCAACCCATTTTGAGGATCTGATGATAACCTCCATTGCCATTATGAATGCCAATGGAGAAATGGTACATCCCACCATTATACCTACATTCAGGCATTGCCATGAGGTGGTGAACTCTGAGGTGGTGAAGCAGAACTGCAGATCCTGAAAGTACGACTTCACCAGGGTTGTGATGGTGTCTGGTATGTGGAAAAATCTGAAGGCAGACCACAGGAGTTCATGGGGCACAGAGTCAAATGCATTGGCGAGGTCGAGGAAGACTACATGGAGGTCCCTTTTCTCCACCTTGGCCATTTGGATCTGGTGCCAGATCATGCTGGAATGTTCCAAGCAGCCAGAGAACCCTGATATTCCTGCCTTCTGTACAGATGTATCGACGTACGCATTCCTTTGCAGGTACTCGGCTATCCTCTGGGCAATGACCCTAAAGAAGATTTTACCCTCGACATTCAGTAAGGAGATTGGGCGGAATTGGCTGATGTTCACTGCATCCTTCTCCTTAGGGATCAGGACCCCGCCTGCCCTACGCCACACTTTGGGTATTATCTTCTTTTGCCAAGCTGTTCTCATAAGCCTCCAGAGGAACCTCAGGACGTCTGGTGCGTTCTTATACACTTTGTACGGGACTCCATTTGGCCCTGGGGCTGATGCTGTTCTTGCCCTTCCAACTGTGTTTTCCACCTCTTTCCATGTCGGAGGGCTGGTCTCAATATGATGTTCCGGGGGTTCAATGGGTGGGATATCTAATGGGATGGCCAGATGTTCATGTCGCTTTGAGTCAAAGTTTGTTGTTCTCAGGTGCTCTTCTAGGTCTTTCTTTGTTGTT